ACCCCGCTCCCATCTCTGTGTGGAGTGAGAGGACAGGTGCACAAAAAATAACAATTGTAAGCCGCTTTGTGACTCTGGTCTGTGAAAGGCGGTATATAAATAAAGCTTACTTACTTACTTACTTACTTAAACACAATGTATTTATTAAAAAAATATTAGTAATAGAATCAACTCTTACTTAATTTTATTATGGTTATTTTTTGTGGTTTCAAAGCAAGGTTTTTAACTTTAACTAACCATAAGACATTTTTAATTATTACCTTTGCCTGAGCCCAATGGTTTATTATTGATTGAACAAATTAAAATAAGTCTTTACCATTTAAGGAATGTTTTTCACCTTCTTTCAGATTCTCCACTTTTTCTGTCACAACTTCTGGATTTGTTTAAACAGAAAATAAAAAGGGAAAAAATAGTTACTCCAGCTTTAATGAATGTCTAAAATTTATAAAATTTTTGAATGGAAAATATGGAAAAATATTTGCATTATACAAGATAATCGGGGGCGGTGCCAATGGAGTGGCAGACCGGGGTGGTGGTCCCTCTCTACAAGAAGGGGGACCGGAGGGTGTGTTCCAATTATCGTGGGATCACACTCCTCAGCCTCCCCGGTAAGGTCTACTCCAAGGTACTGGAGAGGAGGCTTCGTCCGATGGTCGAATCTCGGATTCAGGAGGAGCAGTGTGGTTTTCGTCCCGGTCGCGGAACACTGGACCAGCTCTATACTCTCCATCGGATACTCGAGGGTTCATGGGAGTTCGCCCAACCTGTCCACATGTGCTTTGTGGATTTGGAGAAGGCGTTCGACCGCGTTCCCCGGGGTGTCCTTTGGGGGGTCCTCCGGGAGTACGGGGTCCGGGGTCCTCTGCTGAGGGCTGTTCGGTCCCTGTATGACCGGAGCCAGAGCTGTGTTCGCATTGCTGGCAGTAAGTCAGACCTGTTCCCGGTGCATGTTGGCCTCCGCCAAGGCTGCCCTTTGTCACCGGTTCTGTTCACTGTATTTATGGACAGAATCTCTAGGCGCAGCCAGGGGCCGGAGGGGGTCCGGTTCGGGAACCACAGGATTTCATCTCTACTTTTTGCGGATGATGTCGTCCTGCTGGCTCCAACGAACCAGGACCTGCAACATGCACTGGGACGGTTTGCAGCCGAGTGTGAAGCGGCTGGGATGAGAATCAGCACCTCCAAATCCGAGGCCATGGTGCTTGACCGGAAAAAGGTGCCTTGCCCTCTCCAGGTGGGTGGAGAGGTCCTTCCTCAAGTGGAGGAGTTCAAGTATCTCGGGGTCTTGTTCACGAGTGAGGGGAGGATGGAGCGTGAGATTGACAGGCGGATCGGTGCAGCGTGCGCAGTGATGCGGTCTCTGTATCGGACCGTTGTGGTAAAGAGGGAGCTGAGCCGAAAGGCAAAGCTCTCAATTTACCGGTCAATCTTCGTTCCCTCCCTCACCTATGGTCATGAGCTGTGGGTAATGACCGAAAGAACGAGATCGCGGATACAAGCGGTCGAAATGAGCTTCCTCCGCAGAGTGGCTGGGCGCTCCCTTAGAGATAGGGTGAGGAGCTCGGTCACACGGGAGGAGCTCGGAGTAGAGCCGCTGCTTCTCCACGTCGAGAGGAACCAGTTGAGGTGGCTCGGGCATCTGTTCAGGATGCCTCCTGGACGCCTTCCTGGGGAGGTGTTCCGGGCACGTCCCACCGGGAGGAGGCCCCGGGGAAGACCCAGGACACGCTGGAGAGACTATGTCTCTCAGCTGGCCTGGGAACGCCTAGGGGTCCCCCCGGACGAGCTTGAGGAGGTGTGTGTGGATAGGGAAGTCTGGGCGTCTCTGCTTAGACTGCTGCCCCCGCGACCCGGCAACGGATAAAGCGGAAGAAAATGGATGGATGGATGGAAGATAATGGGAGTACAATACTTAAATCTCGTAATGACATCTTCTCTCATGCTTACGACAAATCTTCAATAGTTGTGCATCTGCCCAAGCTAGTTCATAAAAGTCACCCATGCTGAAAAATGCCCTGGGGAGGGACGAGGGCTGCCCAGCACTCTGCGTTCAGTAACAACATCTGTGAATGTGAATATACAGTATTGTACGGAGCACACAGGGCATCGCTATAGGTCCCATGGCTGAGCACGGAGAGCCCTGTGGGGGTCTGCATGTAGGCCATGAACTCCGGGGGGATCGTGTCCTGTGGGGACCCCTCCACGCCGTCTTTTTCCCAGAGTGGAGCTACATTTAGCCATCTGCATATTACTGCTGTGTGTTTGCTGGCTTTGAACGCTGAGTGAATGTGACGTTGGCTGTTTTCGTGTGCGCCTAATGGCTGTTGTTTCGGGCATCGGTGGAACTTTGTGTCCAGGTTTCTGTTCCGGGACCGTGACTGACGCAGATGTTTCAGTCAGCTCAGCGGAAATGATGTTGGGGCGATATGAGGGCTGCTGGTTTGAAAAACTAACTTCAAACTCTAACATTTGTCAACATTCATGGCCATTGGTCTCTCTCTATGGACCAATACATGTGTGTTCTATATTGTCTGTGTCTTAAAGATGCAGTCAGTGATTTTTTGCAGACACATGTTTTTAAATATTGTGGGAAAACGTCCTTAAACCCTAAAAGCAGTCAAGTTTTCATGTGTTTTCAAATAGGAATTGACCAGATGCCTATAGTCTCCAAAAAAAAAAAAAATATATATATATATATATATTGGAGCGGACCGATACAATTAAACCAATGGGATGCGTTTACCTCCTTCACCCTCTTCCAGTTTCTCGTGATCGCACCGGAGTTATCAGATTTTCTAAAACCTAAAATGGCTGAACAGAAAATGCCAATCTCACGTTTTCTCCACTCTCCCTGTTGCGACAAAGAAAAGAAAATGCTGGATGTTTGGTTTGGTGGAGAGGGAGGGGAGGGGGGAGAGGTTTCCAGTTGGTGCTACGGCTAAGCTAACAAAATCGCTTATTGCACCTTTAACTGTTGATTCTCTGATCTGTGTTGGTGATTTCAATGGTTTTTTTAACTCCTCTGAGATGATACTGGGATTTTAGGGCCATACAAGAATAAATTGTATTGTATTGTAAATTGTACTTAACTCAGCCGCTAATGGGACAGTTAAGTTGGGACAAACTAACTGATAAGGATTTTTCACACATGAATAAGGGCAACATACTAGGCAACCATAAGAACCATATGCAGGGACTGAGGCTAATGGCAAAAGGCTAAATAAACTAACATCTAAATCATATATGGCATTTTCTGATCAAAATATTAACATCTGATTTGTGTCTCGAGTTGAGTATCCAATCAGAGAGCAGAATGAGGGTCACATGGGTCTTTCTTTTGGGTTGCCAGTTCTTTGGCATATCCAGCTGGTTTAATCCTCACGACCAAAGCACCAGCTGGAGGAGCAGCTCTGTATGCAGAGACACGAGCAACATGGGTCTGGGTCGTATTTATAAAAATCCATTTTGTGTGTGTTAAAAACAGAATCTATGTAAGAGCAGAATGGTCCTGTTAAATGCTAATGTGACTGAAAACCCTGTCGCATCTGATCCAAATGCAAAACAATTAATTTCCTAGAAGAGGAGCCGATACATTTTTGAGTAATTCCTGGAGGTTGGTGAATGGGTTTCTTTCCAGACATCTTGCTTCCATTAAGATGCAGATGTTATGAAGAAAAAGTGCTTCCTTTAAACACTTCCCTTTGGACACTTGACTGAAACACTGTTCCACTTTCTACATCCATTATTCAAAGTCGCTGAATTCTCAAGATGAATTTTAAACATTTAAACTATGGTAAGCACTTTTTACATGCCACTTAGGCCGTCGCTCTCTGGTGTTGTGGTGTGTGACCGGTTCAGTGTCGGTGCAGACACTTTCATTGATGCTCACAGAATATAGTTTCTGCTTATTATGACTGACACAGCCCAGAAGATAAACGTGTGCAACTGTGCTGCAAACATGTTTGTTCACCAACAGAGAGTCGCTGAGGAGATTATTTATAAATGCATCTTATAATACACAGAAAAGAACAATATTATGGTGTATTTGTCAAAACCCCAATGGAACTGTTCTACGGTAACATCTTAAATGTAAGGCCCAACATTTGAAATGTGTTGCTCTGTCGTACGACATGTCTGTAAAGTTTGGAGAAGAGCTGCACGATACTGGAAATTAGAGCGATATTTGATATGAGTGTTTACTATTGCGATAACAATATTATTGCGATTTTTTTTCTTTCACCTAAAATTGCAATCTGCATTGAAACGCAAGAGACAAATAACAAAAACATTGATGACATTCAAATGCATTTTTATTTACTTTTTTGTTTGTTTGTCATATTTGTTGAATGTTGATGTGTCTGTTTTGTTGTCTTTAATAAAAAAAAAAAAAAATAACATATATTTATATATATATATATATATACTGTATATCGATTATCGCATGCACCAATATTGCGATAAGGATTTTTTTTCGATATATCGTGCAGACCTAGTTTGAAGTATTTTCTTTCTGGAAATATAAATATACCCCTGGTTACCCCGAGTTACTGAATGCTCTTATTTTAATACATTGTTGAATCAACAAAGATAGTTTGTTGGACAGTTTTTACTATTTCATTGATTTTTATTTCTTTGGTTTATTACATAAATACAAATAAAAAATATATACAGTATATATATTAAAAATAAAACACACACACACTTTTAATTGTTAGTTTAGACCCAGGTCCTGTAGTCAAATCCCGGTCAGAACTGGGCCTTTCTGAGTTCTCCGTGTGCCTGCGTAGGATTCCTCCGGGTGCTCCAGTTTTCCCTACTACTAAAAACAAGTACAAGCGCCCCCTCCCTCAGGATTCGCCTGAGACAGAGACTCTTAAAACTCAGTGGGACTTTACTGGTAAACTAAAGGTCAATAACCCTTAAAGAGGTTTAGATAAAAATGTCGTCGTTTTTATTCTTTTATGACACATTTAAACTTTTACCTTTATGCTTCGTCTCAGGTTACGTTCCACATCCAGGCGTACCACGGGCGCAACGACCAGAGTGTCCACGACAATGTCAAATACATCATTGACAGGTGAAGTTTGGACCAACAACAACCAACACATTTATGACATATTCTCTCAAAACATGAACAAAATACTGTTCATCCACAAAAGGATTTCATTTGTTTTTTTTACTGACTTTCCGAAAACTGACTGTATCAGCTTTTGGAATGTTTTATGATGAGTGATTTTCACATTTCAACTCTTCGAAGAAAGCAATAAACTCTAAACATTCTCAGGCAAAGCAACAATAATGATATTTTCTTTAACACATTATTTTACTGTACATTATGATCAGAGCATTGCTACTATTCTATACTATTTTATTTAGGTTATTTAATTCCTGCTGGCTCAATGACAAGTGAAGCAATTTGAAGCAAGTTTATGAGGCTTTTTTATCCAACCCAATCCACTTTGATTTTATAGCACATTTTATAAAACAAGTGATAGAGACAATGATAAAAGTAACACATTTAAATATACAGTCCTGCCAGATTTATGTACTGTATATAAAAACATAGGAAGAAAACAAAACATTAAAGGCACACCGCGGACTTTGTGACCTAAAGAGTTGACACATATGAGTTATTTTATATGAATACTTGGGCCAATATACAGCGCTTGACACTTGCAATGCTCCGAGCGGGGCTGCCCTCTTGAAATACCGCCCATGTAAGTTTCGAGCAGACGGACCGTCTCCCACCAGGTCACGTGACTTGGAAGAAAGACTTGCTTTACGGCTACAGGCGCTGATATACTCATGGAGCTAAGGCTTTTGCTACTCATTTTTCACCTGCTCGACTCCTGGTCATGGCTGAGGCAAGGAAAAATTTTAAACCTTCGGAGGAGGCTAAAAAGAGGAAACGCGAAAGGGATCGTGCTGTAAGCTGCATGTCTGTATGAGCGCTGCTGTTCACCTGGTTCCTGGATGTCATCGACTGCAAAGATGTCATTCCACGCAGCACGAGCTAGACGCAGAACTCCCTCATCCAGGATATAGAAGTCCATGTGTGGTAGATTACTAATGCAGCGGTCTGGAGGCTGACCACAGCAGAGTCTCTCAATATCTGTAGGCATGTCTCTACAGTTTGAACACACACACCAGTGCATGCTGTCTGAATACACACTCAAAAGACACCGGCTGACTGTTGACTTTTGCGACAGTGCTGAGTTGCTTGTGGCCACTAGGGGCGCTAAACGTGAAAGTTGCAGGTCTAGCGCCCCTAGTGGCCAAGAGTTACACGGTGTGCCTTTAAGATAAAAGTTTTATCAAGAAGTTAAACCGTTTTTCAGAACAGACAGAATATAGAGTCCTGAGCGCATCTAAAATTAATAATAGAAATGAATCAAGGTAAAATATGTGAGAAATATAGAGGTCAATGTTTGTGGGAAGCCAGGTGACTGTGCGGCTATGAGTGAAAATGTATTAAAAACGCATTCAAAGAACACATCTAAAAGAAGAGATATACTTTTTGTTGTTGATCATCATGAGCTGGTCTATTCTTATTATTAGTTATTTCAGACTTTCTTGTCCTCATTTCACAGATACGGAGACCACGGCGCCTTCTACAAGTTCGCCACAAGCAACGGAAAGAGCATGCCTTTGTTCTACATCTATGACTCTTACCTCACCTCCCCCGAGTCCTGGTCGGAGCTGCTGTCTCCCACGGGCGCCCACAGCCTCCGCAGCTCTGCCTACGACTCCGTCTTCATCGGCCTCATCGTCGAGGAGAGGCACAAGCACGACATCTTGGCGGCGGGCTTCGACGGCATGTACACCTACTTCGCCTCCAACGGCTTCTCCTTTGGATCGTCTCACCACAACTGGAAAGGAATCAAGGAGTTTTGTGATGCCAATAATCTGCTGTTTATTCCCAGCGTGGGGCCAGGCTACATAGACACCAGTATAAGGCCGTGGAACAATCACAACACAAGGAACAGGGTGAATGGGAGGTACTATGAGACGGCCTTGCAAGCGGCGCTGAACGTGCGGCCGGACATGGTCACTATAACCTCCTTTAATGAATGGCACGAGGGGACACAGATAGAGAGGGCGGTGCCAAAGAAGACCGTGAACAAGGTCTACATGGACTATCAGCCCCATGGACCAGAGCACTTTCTGGAGCTCACACGGACCTGGGTAGAACAGTACAGCAAAGAGAAGGAGCAATGGATCATGTGAGGTTAGAACAGATGTACAGCAGCAATGTGCTTCCATTGAGGAAAGAGGCGAGTTTTTCTGACCATTGAAGTTAAATTATAATGATCAATGGCATCTAATGCTTTTTTAAATCATTACTATGCATTAAGAAATGCAGTTTGCAACCCCTTTTTTAATTATGTCGACTTAATAACTGTTGAAAGTTCAGACAGAAGACCGAGGCACTCAAAAGTGAGTGACTTTTGAGTGGCTGAGTCTTCTGTCTGAACTTTCAACATTGGTCCCTCCTCTGAAGAGCACCATAAGTTAAACTTTTTTCTTATTTCATTTTTACATCCAAGAAGCACTCCAGCCCTGTCTACTGTTTACTTGATTACTGTTTACTTGATAGCTGTTCTTTGACTCACCCTTGTAGGCACCTGCCACAGTGGGTCCTAACCTTCTTTGTCCCGAGTATCCCTCGCCAGCGTAGTCAGGGCACGAGGAGCCTGTTGTTTAAGAGAGAAATGTCTTCCATGTACTTTCTTTGTGTGAATGTGGCTCCCTCTCAAAGAGCTGGCCCGGGGCTACTAGTTTTTTAGGTTCTAATTTGTTAAGTATCCTGTTTTTCTTTCATATCATATTATGAGTTTGGACTGAGCGAAAATGAAGGAAGGCTTGTTATTGCAGACCGACAGACTATATATGATTAAGTTTGGGTTCAATATTTATAACAGAATGAATGATATATAACATGCTACTATAGCCCATACTAATCTCTACTACCAATGGGGTACCCCTGTCATTCCCTCACACACCCCTAGGGTCTGAGCACCCCTGGTGGGGAAACTCCGGTCTAGTAGACAAACACAATAACTCATTTTGCTTTCCCAAGGAGAATTACATCTTTAAATACTATGAACGCTGAAATTAACTTGTGCATTTTCTGCCTATGGCAAAGTCAAACAGCAGGTCCTGAGTGTTGGCTCTGACTCTGGTCTATTTGTGGACCCAGACTAAAAATGGAGCATTGTCTAAAAGGACTTTTGTGATACACTTTGGCAAACAATGGGAGATGAGAATGTTGTGTGCTTTTTTATTTAACACTGTGCTACTTTAAAGGTCAAACCTGTTTTTATGAATTGGAATGCTCAATCAACAGTTCTAACTATAACATGTTGATCATAAACGGTACGAGACCTTGAGGTTTTTCAGTTAATTAAAAATGTTTCATCTCCCTAATTTATACATGAACATCAAATCAAGAGACGTAGATGTAATATTTTTGTTTGAGTGAATTATAAACACATGATCTTTCGTTTTTTTCAATATTAAAATAAAAAGGGACATTCTGCCATTGTGTTTACCAATTCTCAACAATAAATCCCTTTAGATTTGAGTAAAATCTTTCTTAATGAAAATAACCACACACTATACTGAATATGTTGTCCCAGAGGCTGCATTTTATCTGATGCTTTGAAAGACAATAGGATTTCATAAACCCTCAATCAAACAATTACCTCTGCTCGAGTTGTCTGCATGTTACACCAAAGGCCCATGAGACAAACTCTACATCAGACACATACAGAAAAAATAATAAATATTTTAATAGTTTCAACAGTTAGAGTACAGTTTGCAACACCATATACAACAGATCACCCCAAATAAAAATAAAAAGCTTGAGCAATTGTTTTTTATAAAAGAACAAACCGATATCAAATGAGAAATGAGGCAAAAATGTTTTCCATTAAAAATATAATAAACCATGATTTGTGAAGAGTCCAGAGTCCAGCGTGGATTTCAGACAGACCCGGTCCTGACCCACCACCAGTTTCACCGATGAAGATCAAGAACGGAGCCGGTTGTGCGTCTCAACATGAGGTACCAGGTCATTCTCCGAGAGTCACAGCTGACAGCCCATATTTATGTTGCAGCACATCAAGCGTGGAGGGAAGTGCACTGTAATCACAATCACGGTCAGTCTGCAGAGAAAGACTATTTTACTGTCAACACATGCATGAGAGGAGATGCAGCACAGCAGAATACAAACAGGACGCGTACATAAAACATATTTCACCATATGGGGCTGTTACTGTTGCCAGCTACTCCAATACGGGCAAAGTGAAGTTGCCATTAACATTTGAAAATATTAAAATCTGCATATTATAAAAAATAGAGAAATATTAATATAACAGGCCATGAATTTCCACTATTTTGCCATTTTCTATTCTGTGAAAATACAAGATGAAAGTCTGAAGTACGGCAATAAACGTGTAAATTATTAATATTTCATCTCATATGTTAAGATAGAGGATAAGAGATGCATTTATTGGGCACGGTGGCTGATAGCACTCTCACCTCTCAACCAGAAGGTTCTGGGTTCGAATCCCGGCTGGACCAGGGCCTTTCTGAGTGGAGTTTGCATGTTCTCCCTGTGTCTGCGTAGGTTTCCTCCGGGTACTCCGGTTTACCCTACCACTAAAAACATGTACAATAGGTCTGGCATGCGCTTCCTGTACGGCGACCCCGCTCCCATCTCTGTGTGGAGTGAGAGACTAATGCCCAAAAATAATAACAATTGTAAACCGCTTTGTGACTCTGGTCTGTGAAAGGCGGTATATAAATAAAGATTACTCACTACTTACTTACTTTATTAATCTGGCGCCCGGATTACGGACTTTCTGATTGGTAAAACAGTGGAGGGCGGGACATCGAAATGAAAACAATAACAAGATTTACGGGCTGTAAAACTAATTTGAAATTTGAATATCTCGACTATAATACTGTTATTAGTTTAAAAAGTATTGGAAAAGAGCATGTTTTATGAATGCCTTTGGACAGACTTGAAAATCTTTTATATTGATACTTTAAAAAAATTAGCATGTTCAGGTGACTGGGAAAACTGGGTTAAAACCAGTAACCAGTGAAAAACAAGTGAATGTAAAACAACAAATAAACAATTGTACAACTGTCCAAAGCTCTTAAAACATAGATTTTTAACCATGTGTCTAAAATATGCAACAGACATGAGTTTACTGTTGTATTACAAACTAATCTCATCTCGTACCATACCAGCACATTACAATCCTAGAATTGACTCTCCTCCCATCAGGCCGCCGCTACAGAGTACCCACTAGAAATAAGAAACGATATCTAAACCTGTATAAGAACTCATTCCTACCCATATCTGTGAACCTCCTGAATGCAGGCCATCGAGCAGAGCGGTGATGGTTTATGTCGGTGTTACTGTGTTGTGTTTTATGTCTGTCTTATGTGTATTTTCAATGTAGCAGCCTGTGAGTCCAAGACAAATTTCCTACGGGACATAATAAATTAATCTTGAATCTTGAATCTTGACAGCAGCGATAATGCAATGAGCACAAACATGACGCAGAACTAAACATGTGTGGGCACTTACCATCCAGGTCGGATTATTCTGCATTTCCCGCGGGTCGAGAGGTCCACCACAGTTGATCCGAGGCGGCTCTGGTCCCCGATGGGCCCCCCGTCCACCACGACTGCAAGCTTTGGCCACAGCTCCTTGAACTCCTGAAAACAAAAGTGAAATTTAAAATACACCTTTTGTCCCTCAACCGTGACTTCACTTTTCCGGAGACACTCACATGCACGGCTACAGTACTGTTTTGAGAACTGATGTTGGCGCTGGTGAGGGCAAGAGGCTCCCCACACATCTGACACAGGCGCCTCATGAAGGGGTGGTCTGGGATACGCACCCCCACGAGCTGTGGACACAAACGATCAATGGCCATTTTATACAGATGGCATTTATCGAAGCATTTATTATGTCTGGACTGTTTGATTCTCTGATCTGTGTTGGTGAATTCAGCGGTTTTGGGAAGTCGTCCCATTTAGTTGCTGTTTACTGTTGAGATTTAGGGCTATACAAGAATACATTGAAATGAATTGTAGGATATATAGGCAATTAATATCATGATTAAAAGATCCTTTCTTCATCCCATCCCAGAGGAGAAATTTCAGAGTTGCATCAGAAGTTATAGAACAGTAGGAGTGAAGAGCACACAGCACAAGTTAAGTGAACAATAGATTTACCAATTAAAATTAAATAAAATCTCTAACTCTAGCATAAAATAACAAGTAAAACATCTCTATTGTGAAAATAATAATAATTAAAAAAAAAGAAGTATTCAAGTTTTACATTTGGCAAATAATGTCAAGTATATGTGTGTGATGTTGTTTTTTCAATTGAGAAGTAAACTATGTAAAAAATACTAAAGTGATAAACAATATTGTGTTTTGTGAGGTGAACATAGGTTTAAAGAGTTGTCTAACCAGTGCTGCAACTGTGAACTTACAGAAGTGAATGGGTTTAAGTCCCGGTTGAGTAGGTCGGTTCGTTCAAATACCAGCGTGACTGGACCGGGTAGCAGGTCTTGCAACAACTCTTCGTCAACTTGAACTTTACAGTATCTGACAAAGGAATATTAATCTTATTCACCAATTTACTTTTAAACCCATCTAAAACTCTGCTATATTTCATATCAGTGCTTCTGTGGTTCCCATGTACTCACTTTTTAATATCCTGGACTTCACCCACACAAATTGCTAAAGGTTTCTGTTCGTTTCGTCCTTTGATATTGTAGATTTTGCAGACGGCCTCAGAGTTTTGAGCCAGACAGGCCAGGCCATAGATGGTGTCAGTGGGAAGGGCGACCACATGGCCCTCCTGCAGAGCCTTCACCGTCTGTCCCAAGACATCAGCACCATCTGCAGTTCAAGAACATGCAAACGTATGTTGAAGAAAAACAATTATAATCACATTCTAAAAGCTCTACCCTGGGGTGAGATATAATACATTTTAACTAAATGTTGTCTTTTTTCAGTTTTTCCTTAACGAAAGGATAAAGATTTAGGGATAGGACTCAGGAGATGTTATTTTAATCAAACTAATTATTATAATTATAGTTATATTATTAGGTATGTATTGACCAATGACAGTTTCATTGATCTAGTAAGATGACACCCAATAATTCTTTTAAAGTGTGCAAAATTAGATGTTTAAAAAATACGACCATATAATTACACATAAAGACCAATACCTAAATATTGTAAAAACAAATATTATATACATACATGGGTCTGCCAATCAACTAGATGTTAAATCACATGATCAATGTGATTGTCTTAATTAATTTATCATCTTTTAGTTAATTCAGTTTTAGTGATATTTTACCAAAAGATTAGAATTAGCTTTATAAAATAGATTTCATCTGAGGAGAAGTGTGGATCATTAAATATAAGTAAAATGACTACTTTTCGTAATATGCCAGTATGCTGAATCATGGATGTGCAGAATGACAAGAGGGCAGGTTAGTGCTAATTAAACGCAACGGATTCAGTTTGATTGGTTCATATATTCCCTGACAGTAATGTAATCCCAGATCCATGAGTAATCCCCACATCCCGCACACTGAGGCTGACCTGCGTGGCTCTCGTGCCGCTGGAGGATCGGTCCATTGAGAGTCTGCGGTAACAAACGCAAAACTTTGGTCCTGAGCTCTTTACACATGTCTGTTTCCTGTCGGGGGGTCGCAGCTAATCTTTGAGAGCTTCGAGACGTGAGGGAATCAAACACAGCTCTGTAAACGAAGCGTTGTACGTTGAACATGTCATTTCCTCGCCGAAAGCGTGGGAATCTGACGAAACACCAAACTTCCGGGTTACGCCCACAAACAAAGACGTCACACTTCTTAAAGGGACCGCACCTAATTCTGCAAACCTTACATTTTTTAATAATACATAATACTGGTTGAAAAACAAATCATACCACAACATGCTGCCTTAATTGTCTTAGAATTATCTTGATCGGTTGCAGACTGTGTTGGTTCTTTCCTTTCCTTTTTACTCTAAAGGCAAAACTACATCAACTAGTGATAACCACTTTGTCAGGAGGGGAACTAGAGTAGATCTGTATACTCCATACTACTATTGTTTGTGCATTTATGATAAAACTAAGCTAGCCATTTGAACACTTGATTTTTTTGGTCTTATCAAACTTATCTACACTTCTACACTATTCTATCACAATCCACACCTTCTACACTATTGTTTCATGGATTTTAGTAATTGTTGTGGTTGTAGTGCGCTCTTCCAGCTTTAAATTGTTGTGAATTGTTGTTAATTAGTTTCAGCTGGTCTGGGTCTGACGTGGGCAAAGCAGCTCTGAAAATGTCCTCAGAAGCAGGTAAAGCGACACTATTTATCCCAATAAGTTTCACATTTCTCATGCATTGTGTTTTACAGTTACAGATGTGAAAGGTGTCACTGATAACAAAGAAAAGCAGGTTTGACAAAAAATGCACATCAAGCCATTAAATCTTGAAGTCAACGTCTTGATTATTCTTTTACAGACTGTGGAAGAGGTTGAGAGTTTGCTTCAGGCTTCTTCTGACAGAGTAAAACTGTGCAACACAATCCTAGATGATCTTAAGCTTCTAAATGAGGCATTAGTGGTGAGTTTTTCTGTTTGGTACATTTTAATATAAAAAACTGAAACTGAACTAACAATGCACTTGTTTTATAGAGGAGGTCTCTTCAGGATGTGTCCATGTCAACACAGAAGTGACTTGGAGACTACTTTTTAAATATGTTCAATAAAAAAACTTATGATTCAGTCAGTGATGAGGATTTATTACTATATTGCTCTCCATTCAGAAAGTTATGAAGTATATAACTTTATACGAAACAAGCATAAACAAACATCTTATTGTACATTCTTTAAAAAATACAGATCCATAACAGTTCAATTCCTCACTCTTTGGGGGTAGGACTCCAATCTGAAAGCTTTGTTCAAATAGATTTCAGATTACTCGCTGAAATATGAAATTCCAGAAAAGCATTCTTAGGCCGTAAATCCACTCGGTAAAAAGCAAACAGTTGTAACTTGCAGAAAAATGTTGTAACCAGTGCTGTTCAGAGATGACTGGAAAACTTGTAAATAATGCTTTATAGTTACTCAATACAATTCTTAAAACAGAATCATTTGAAGAAAAATATAAACTTAAAATAGGTAGGATGAATATTCTGTATGTCGTAGGCAAAACAGCACAATAATTGATTACTGGTGCGACGTCTACAGGGACAGTACCTGATGGAAAAACTACAAACCCCATAAAACACGCACTACCCAATCTTTGAAGTGGAAAATCAAACACTGTAAACACATCGGAAACAAAGGCAATGTCTCACGGATATCCAGCATAAATCATAATTGAATACGGAAACATCCTAAATGGCGGTTAACACACAGAATGCCACTCTTGAAAATTGCATAGTTTTTTTAAATGAAAGCATGTATAGCTAATGTATGGCAGTAAATCTGAAAAACTATTCAATTTGAAAAGAAAACAGTTCATGCATTTCAGTTAAGGGTGAAAACGTTGAACCCGAATGTACACACATGTTCCAGGACGTCTCACTTATGCTTTGTTATGAGTTGTTAAAAGGAATGGTCAGAGACAAGTATAGTGGCAAGTCAAACAGAGACCGTCAAAGGCAAATCGGCTCCAAGAACAATAATATAAGGCCTTGAAGCTGGAGTCAGGGCTCGATTCTATTCAATGTAAAGTAATTCAGGTGAAAATTTGAACAGGTTGGAATAGGTAAGAGCAAGAAGTTACCAACGTTAAATAAATGTTGCTGCTGTGTAAGGCCAACACACACTCATTACAATGCAAAGATTAGGGCGTTACATCTTCTCCAAACTAGGAATTCAAAAGTGTATACAAAAATACAAACTCTACGGTAAATCTACAAGTTCCTCTCGTACATACTAATATATATATGTACTATATACAGTCACTAGGGCACCACTTCCATTGCTACTCAGCAGTTTTACAAAAGTCGGGTTTTGTGGTGCTGCATGCAGGGGCTAACTAGCGCTCACGTTGTTCTCCTGGTAAGTTAGTGTGCAATAAACAGGGGAAAGTGCAGCAAAAGGTAGGGCTACTGCGGGGGTTTGGTGACGAGAATGCGGGGGGCAGTACTGCTGATGGCCAATGCATCCCTGAGACAACAACAGGATGATCAGTACTGGGCTTTTATCACGTGAATGGTCCTAGTCTAATATTAATAGGTGCCTCTTTGATAAACCTACTTTCAGCAACTCAAAACAGAAGAAATCAGTAACAAACAACACAATTGATTCGAAATAAATTAATAAATTCTCTATTTAAAAAGAACACTATAGCTAGTATAAAATGAAAATTAATAATTCAAATAAATTAACATACATACAACTTTAAATTAGCATTCAGTTAGGCGATTAAGGTACTATCAGATTAATTTCACTTTAAAAAGGCAGGCAACTGTAATCACAAGGTTCTTTTTTGATGAGTGTATCACCTAACACAGCTTACATGAATGAGTCACATTTTATGGTCCAAGTTCAAATCTCAGAGTTGCCAAACCTTCTGTACTTTGCAGAATTCCACAATATACAGTGCTTTCTGGCCACTTGCATACCAGCTTCAATAATTGCTAGAACCCCGCAGTACAGTACAAAAGATACATCAAAATGTTTTCCTATTCAGACATTGCCTTTTCAGGAAAATGGAATTCCTAAAATCAGTGCTTAGACAACATCCTAATGTATGAAAAATAAAAGGCGTTATGTACACTTTCTTTATAAACTCTTACAAATATGCTTCCCTCTGCATTAACACGCATTGCAAAAAAGAAATCTCAACGCAAATTTGAAATAACCGCAGTGACACAGCAGGAACTACTCATTTTGCATGAATATTACTTTCACCACTATAGAGAACCAGATGCACGGCAAGTACGGCTGTATGCTGCACACTGTACAGAGCAGACGGGACGTTTGCCGAGGAGGGTGGCTGGGGATGTGGGTGTAATGGAGGCCGGCAGCTGAGTGGGAGCAAGAGTACACACATGGCGCTGCTTATGTATTACCATCAGTCGCCATATTCAAGTCATGAGCCACAAGCAACAGGGCCTCCAGGTTAGCAGCGGTGTCCGGGCTGTGCAGGGAAAGGTAGTCCGTCACGTCCATGTTCGTTAAACTGTCAGAAGCTGCAGCGCCGGTCACCCTGCTGCTAGCTTGTGTGGCGGCGGAGTCCGATAGGGAAGAGGAGGCCGTCTGCTCCACTGCAAGCGACTCTGAGGCTGGTCCGGGTGGCGGGCAGCAGGACGTGGAGGGAGGCGGTTGTGGAGGCGCTGAGGGGACGGGCTCGACGGGGGACTGTGGAGGCGGGGGTGGAGCTGGAGGGGGAGCAGCTGCAGGGGAGACGTTCTTCACACTTTTGTCCTTAGCGGAGTCTCGACAGGCACACTGACACTGGCACGACTCTTCCTGTTTGATGATGATGACCGGCAGACTGAGGCCAATCTGCTGAACGGAGCTACCTGGAAGAGAGAGAACAAGCAAAGCTGAACGTGACAAAATCTGCTTCATTATGTAAAACTGACACTTTAGCTTTTGACCATGCTACAATATGACATTTCAGCTCTAAATGATTGTCACTGAGGTATTTTTGTTGTCATTTTGAACTCACTCTGGCATCTATTTCACTATCATTACAACCACAGCCTAGTCTTCATTTTCAATTTGTGAAAAGTAGAAGCCAGTGCCGACATAAATTAGACCAGGTGTATATCCAACAAAAGTAAATGTACATGGGAAATTCATAATTAATTACCAACTACAGAAGGTCTACAGTACACCTATTGTAGTCTGTCTGTTTGGCCAATTTGCATAAACACAGCGTTCATAAAATGGTCTCGTGCCAGCGGCTGTATCGCTGCATTATGTTCTTCACACACGATACACGTCTGCAGTATATGTATTAATCTCTGCTCGGTGCTACAAAATGAGATGGAGGTCCAGAAGTTAACATTTGCACACTTGGGCAGGTTTTAGTTCTTTATTCATCAGCATTTCTGTACTGCTCTTTTCTCCTCTCTGATCTTCATGTCTGACCTCAACAGAAGGTTAATGATAAGGAGCAGAAAACAAAAGTGAGGATTTTTTTTTAACATTGATAAATTAGTTTAAATTCCAAAAGATGACCTGCCAAAGCAAAAGGTTACTAAAAATGCATAACAACCCATTCAGAACAGCTTATTGACTTACCAGCATTACCGCCCACTGGTATTGCAGTCGTGAAGAATACTTTCTCTACTTTCGGACCACCTTGTTGCTGCAAGAATAGGCAGAAGTTCAGAAGATTTAATACAAAACACAGTATTTTATAAAAAGAACAGTATGCAGTTATTGTTACTGTTCAGATACACACATGTGCAACAAGCTGCTGGTTTTTAGGTAATGAGAATCACATTAGCTGGATTTCACAACAGAAACTGGCAAAACAAATGAAGGATTAATTCTGCTTTTTGATAGGATAAACTTAAACATATTTCCACTATGTCCATTGTTTGAAAGTTAAATATCACCATTAAAATGACACTAAATTCTTTGTACATATTTACCTCAGGTCGACGACAGATAGAAGTAGGATGTGTAATTTAAAATCATGCACTGCTGCTAATGTACAGATGTAAACATACAGCTACATTTTGCTTGCACTAGAATACACACCAAATTTAGAGATTTTATACTTCATTATTGTGTTAAATATATAATAATGACATGACATTTTATACTTGCTTCTTTAAGGCTTGAGATTTTATTTGAATTAGTAGTTATTGTTCTTTTGTGTTGTGTTCTGCTACTTGTGATGCAACACTGAAATGTACCCACTGTGGGATGAATACATCTCTTAATCTTAATCACACTGTCCCTTTAAGACAAAGTAACTCACTGCTTGATCAGGGTTCTGCTGACTGTTGGCGGCACTGCTGAGAATCCACTGGAGGTTCTGGTCCGACATGACCAGACTGGGCTGAAGGAGGTTCTGCGTGGGAGCTATGGTGATGGCAGCCTGGCTAGATGGTGCAGGAGGAACGGTGATGGGGGTGGGGGTAGGGGCCAAAGGCACAGGTGGGGCCACGGTGGGACTGGATGTTGTGGTGGAGAGAGTGGATGGAGGCTGGGTGCTAGTGCCCTCAGGCTGCAGGAACGTCGGCTGTAACGTCACAAACTGCTGCGGCGTGGCCAGGCTGGGGTCAGGCACATTTGAAATCTGTGGTTCTATTTGAATGTATGAACTGTTTTGTGCAGGGCAAACAGTGGCAGGCGCCGGGGCAGGTGTGCACCCTGTAGAGGCCGAACAGGAAGAAGAGGGGAAAGATCCAGGCGTCGCTTCACTAACACTGGACTTGGCTGATGTTTCTGTGGCAAGTGCCTCCGGTATTCTCTCTGAGTAGAGGCACCGGATTAGTTTTAAATTACAACATTTTAATTAATGTTTTGAGAATGACATTAAAATACAATGTGTAAAGTGACACTTACCACAATGGTGCACATCTTCATGACTGACGCTGTTGTCTGGGCTCTGGAACATCAGCTCAAAGATTTTTATTGGCGTGGCGTTGTTAAGTTCCTGTAAGAATTGAAGTGAAACTAAATGTTACTTTTCTGTAGTTGTAAGAAGTCTTCAGTAAAACCAAGACAAAACCATACATTGTTTATGTTTTCCCGTAACTCCGAGTCTGTTGAGATGAGGCTTAAGTCACTGAGGCATAGCGAATGATTTGCATCCTGTAATAACACAAACAAAAAATACATTATCCACAACATTTTCAACAAAATACACATTTGACATAAACACTGACATTTGTGAGGCACCTCAAGAAAGTTACAAAGTCAGACTTATTTGTATAGCACATTCAGAACAACACCAGCTGCCCAAAGTGCTTCACATGCACACAAGTTAAACACAAAAACAGCATTAAATACACACAAATACATGTGAAAACTGCACCAAGAGTTAAAATAAGGAACAGAATCTATCAGGTTCGTAGATATGAGTTTTCTTAAATGGCATAAAATATATATATTTTTTAAAAAGTACACAGTGGGGATTCTGTAAATGAAAATATAAATGAAACTCACTTCAGAGTGAATGAGGCTGCCGCTGAATGGCTGTCCTTTGTCGTGACCCCGAATGTGACTCTTCAAACTGTACTGACTGCTGAACGTCTTTTCACAACCGTCGCTGGGACAGTTGAACGGTTTTTCACCTATGAATATGGGAAAAGAAGTGATTATTATTACGTCATATAAAAAATAAAAATAAAACAGAAGTGTAGCCAACAAGTCTAACAGTCAAATACCTGTATGGGTCCGAACATGTGTTTTTAGGTGGTGACTTGCTGCAAATGCTTTTCCACAGCCATCATGGTCGCACCTAAAGTCAAGAACATGATATCATTATGCTCTAATGAGAAGAACCCATGTGAATACTCACCGGAATGGCTTCTCCCCTGTGTGCGTGCGAATGTGCTTTCTCAAGTCGCTGAGTGTGGTAAAGTACTTTGTGCATCCCTCCGACTCGCAGTTGAATGTTTTGCCCGTGTGAATCCTCTGGTGTGCTTTTAATCTGTGCAAAGAATACAGTGGAGTTAGAGAGTGAGAGTCCTCTGACTTCAGGTATAAATGCTGTAGACAAGTTACAATACTCTGTCAATACAACACTACAATACTTGAAATTTCCCCCACTGTGGGACGAATAAAGGATCTTTTATCTTTTATCAATGAGGAAGGCAAAGAGGAAAAATGTCTGAGGCACTCTGACTTGACTTAAAAATCCTTTACTGTAGAAATGACATTGCAACGTGTTTCAACTCCACTGAATCAAAAAAAAAAATAGTACACAACATTGATTCGGCCAATGAGATGAGGAACAATATCCCCATTGTAGTATTAGACTCTTAAATTAAAGCTGCACTAACTCACTTTGTGAAATTTTCGAATGTGAGCACTGGCCTCGCTCTTTCTGCTCGCCCTCCCCGCACTCACGGAGCCATCTAAAATAAAATGACAAAATCTGCGCTACTTTTTCTTCAGAAGGACGTATATCCCAATGCATTGCATGGATATTGATTGAATTTTCGTAATGAATACAAAAATAAAGTGAGGTAATGCATCTTTAATATATTATAGTTGGACCATATATCTAAAACCCTAAGCCACAATGAAAAATAAATATTCAGGGTCTATATAATTCCTCATATGTATGCAATTCCACCTTAGAAAGTAGCACTCAGTTGCCTTGATGAGGACCTGAGAGGGGTCGAAACACGTCGCAATGTCCCAAAAGTGAAGTCAGAGTGCCTCAGACATTTGTCCTCTTTGTTTTCTACTCTGTTTTCCCAGGGATCCTTGAACAGAACCTGACCACTTACATTTATCCAGTATTTTGGTTATCCCTATAGGCACTTACTCCTCTTGCCCTTTTACTGTTTCATTAATGTTTGAAATGGATCTATAGCTGAGGAGAGGGATGTCCTGTACCTGTAGAGTGTGTTGAAGGCCTTCTCACAGCCCTGCACGTCACACTCGAAGGGCTTCTCCTTGGTGTGAACTCGCACATGGATCTTCAGGCTGTACGAGGTGAGGAAAGCCTTTCCACAGCCCTGTTGATTACACACAAACGTGTACTCTCCCCGGTGGGTCTTCTGGTGAGTTCGTAAATTCCCTGCTGTGCTGTACGTCCGGGTACAGCCCTCAAACATGCACTGGTACCGCTTCACCTGCAGACAGCACAGCAGACGTATGGTTAGGAAAGAATATCTGTATGAGGGAATGTACAAGTTTGCGCGATTTCTATGTATTGTTAGATGTGTTGTGTAGTATGTTTGAAACCAACTACAACTATTGTGCTTTGGGCAGAGAGCTGTTGATTGGTAAAATAAGTCTGAAAAAGCTGATCTAAAGACGTGGCAGAGGCCAAAAATTCCTGCATTCAAATACTTGTGTCGACCCAAACAGTTTTAGAGACAGGAACTCAAATTTTATAATTGTGGTTTGAAATTTGACAATTCAAAGATTGACATGGCTGGAATCAGCAATAGTAAACCAAATTGAATCAGCCAATGAGAGGATTGAGTAACACCCAATTGTATTATTAGTCTCAGTGAAATTAATAAATATATTACAATATATATATATATATTACAATATATAATAAATATATTACAATATATATAATAACAATATATTACAGTTTTGTGCAAATCAGACTTTGTTTGTGCAAACGGGAGCAAATTTAATGTTGTCAAAAACGGCCAAAAAAGGTCACATTTTGCCGCTCCGCTGCTCGAACAATGTTTCACTGATCAAAAATCCCTGGTCATTTTTTTTTGTTTTTTTTTTATTCATTCGAGCAGAAATTTTACAATCATAAGTATTTACAATATTTACATTCCTTAGATGATTCTTTATACATACATGTTGCCTGCTGTGCTTACAGTTTATACTTATACATAGAAATATATAAACAAACTATACAATCAAGCAACAATAGTTTCCCTAGTTACACTATGTGTTATACATCGCAATATCAATACACAAATGAACCTCTATTTACAATTTGTCAGCTCGAAATGGAGTGGGAAGGAAGTAAAAACTTGTCGACTCCCACCCCATAAACATAATTCAAAAACATGCAAGAATGTTGTTATTTAGCATTGAATAAATAATACCTTAATAATAATTTCTCGTGTTCAGTGCGATTTAATACTTTTATAAAGTTACATTTGTAACAATGATCACTGTGCCCCAGCAAGGCCCAGCGCCCCAACTCAGGCCAACTCCAGTCACAAGAAGCAGCCGCCACAGCAGTAGACCAATCATGCAGAGGAACAATAGTCCAACGCACAGCAGGCTCCAACTACACCATGAGCAACCACCTCACTGATCATTCATACCATTGTTTTATTCTTTCAAATGAAAAGGCATTTGATTAATTCTACAGTTTCTTTACCTTGGATAGAGCCGATTATCACCACCGTGACTGTCCTAGCTCCACCTTCAGGCAGAAGATACTTTCTTTAATTTTTGTTCTTTTACACATATTTTTTTTTTTTTTCATATCCATCCATCCATCCATCCATTTTCTTCCGCTTTATCCGTTGCCGGGTCGCGGGGGCAGCAGTCTAAGCAGAGACGCCCAGACTTCCCTATCCACACACACCTCCTCCAGCTCGTCCGGGGGGACCCCAAGGCGTTCCCAGGCCAGCTGAGAGACATAGTCTCTCCAGCGTGTCCTGGGTCTTCCCCGGGGCCTCCTCCCGGTGGGACGTGCCCGGAACACCTCCCCAGGGAGGCGTCCAGGAGGCATCCGGAACAGATGCCCGAGCCACCTCAACTGGTTCCTCTCGACGTGGAGAAGCAGCGGCTCTACTCCGAGCTCCTCCCGTGTGACTGAGCTCCTCACCCTATCTCTAAGGGAGCGCCCAGCCACTCTGCGGAGGAAGCTCATTTCGACCGCTTGTATCCGCGATCTCGTTCTTTCGGTCATTACCCACAGCCTATGACCATAGGTGAGGGAGGGAACGAAGATTGACCGGTAAATTGAGAGCTTTGCCTTTCGGCTCAGCTCCCTCTTTACCACAACGGTCCGATACAGAGACCGCATCACTGCGCACGCTGCACCGATCACCGATCCGCCTGTCAATCTCACGCTCCATCCTTCCCTCACTCGTGAACAAGACCCCGAGATACTTGAACTCCTCCACTTGAGGAAGGACCTCTCCACCCACCTGAAGAGGGCAAGGCACCTTTTTCCGGTCGAGCACCATGGCCTCGGATTTGGAGGTGCTGATTCTCATCCCAGCCGCTTCACACTCGGCTGCAAACCGTCCCAGTGCATGTTGCAGGTCCTGGTTCGTTGGAGCCAACAGGACAACATCATCCGCAAAAAGTAGAGATGAAATCCTGTGGTTCCCGAACCGGACCCCCTCCGGCCCCTGGCTGCGCCTAGAGATTCTGTCCATAAATACAGCGGGCGGCACGGTGGCTGAGTGGATAGCACTCTCGCCTCTCAGCAAGAAGGTCCTGGGTTCGAATCCCGGTCGGACCAGGGCCTTTCTGAGTGGAGTTTGCATGTTCTCCCCGGGTCTGCGTAGGTTTCCGCCGAGTACTCCGGTTTCCCCTACCACTAAAAATATGTCCAATAGTTCTAGCATGCGCCTCCTGTACTGGCGACCCCGCTCCCATCTCTATGTGGAGTGAGAGACAAATGCCCAAAAATTAACAATTGTAAACCGCTTTGAGACTCAGATCTGCAGTGAAAAGGCGGTATATAAATAAAAGATTACTTACTTACTTACTTACTTACAGTGAACAGAACCGGTGACAAAGGGCAGCCTTTGTCAAAACAATATGTTTTTCATAATTTATTTTCAATTCATACTCTTTTGTATGTCCAAATGGATTCTAGACAGTGAGGTCATTCCTGATTGCGTGTCCACAGAACGCCACTATGACATGGGTCCACTGCCCCTCCACACCACCAGCCACCACCACAGAAACCACCTCCCGAGACACAGAACCAGCCTAAGAGACTGCGCCAATGCCCACCAAAGCAACACCAATCACTGCTGCACACGTATTTATACATTTAGTACACCAATATATAAAATATTAAGTGTTCTCTATACAGAAATATAAACATACAAGCAGACATACACATATTATCACATACATACCTACAAATTAAATATTAAATGTTCTCTATACAGACACACACACAACAACATACATATACCTGTTTTCACATACACAACTACATATGTAACCCTGTTATTTTATGTATTTTATTTTAATGGTGATCATGAATGCTCTTATACCCATACTGGTAATACCCAAAACAGTTACTATTGACCCTGTAGTGATTTGTTAGTATTTTTCTCTCTCATATTTTGTCCATATCATCTTTTTAAGATGTGATTTGAATTGCTGGATACTTGAGCACTGCTTCAGCTCCTGGCTCAGGCTGTTCCAGAGCTTCACCCCACAGACAGATACACACCAACTCCTCCTTGTGGTCCTGACGGCTGGGAGTTTAAAGTTACTACATCTTCTCAAGTTACGCTCATATTCTTTTTTAATAAATGTCTTTTGAATATTGGCTGGTAGAGTTTTTGAATTAGCTCTAAACAGCAGTTGTGCAGTGTTAAGATTAACCAGGTCTTCTAATTTTAAGAGTTTTGATTTTAATTGATTTTGAAAGTACATGTGTTGAGATGATGAGGAGCGATTTTCAGGAGAATCTGTGAAACGGCCGAGGAGGAGTCGCTTTCCAACCAACATGTATGAAAACTTTTGCTGTTCATTTTTCCATTTTGCAGTGACATTTTTGGGCTTCCTGTTTGTCAGGGGGCGGGGCCATAATATTTTTTTCTTGTCTTGACTTGAGGAACATGTGTACCGAATTTCATGACTATACAACAAACTTGATCTCCAAAACTCCCATAGGGGTATTATTTTGGCTGTTGTAGGTGGCGCTGTTCTGGCATTTTTTGAGTCCAATAAAAATAAACACCAAAATATCAAATTTTTCGCCAGGTCTGATTTTTGGGCAAAATTTAACAACTTTCGATGCATGTTCAGGGGGTCAAATTAAGGCTCAAAGTGCAGAAGAAAAAAGAAAGAAGGAAAGAAAGAAATTAAAGCCGCAAGCGGCGTCAAACGGCCCTCGCCGCACCGCACGACTCCCCACACCGCGCACACCCCCCGCACCAAGCCACCCCGCACCAAGCCGCAACGCGCCGCTCCACAACGCCCCGCACTACGCCGCACCACGCAGCACCGCGCAAAGGAGGTGGCGCCGCCGTGTGATGATTTGTTCCCGTAGCCATAGAAGATTGTTAATCAAATTGTAATGAATATGATAAGTAGAGCTGGTTTGGCTCCCCATGTAAACTTTGACCCAGTCTGCAGGGGGCGCTAAGGGGCCAATTTTAAATATTTCACTTTCACCTGACCTAAACCCTGGAGTTGAACAATGGATTCAAGTTTAATGCAAATCAGACTTTGTATGTGCAAACGGGGAAAAAATTTATGTTGTCAAAAACGGCCAAAAAAACCTCACATTTTGCCGCTCCGCTGCTCAAACAACGTTTCACTGATCAAAAATCCCTGAAGTTATTTTGAATGTAAATGTGTTGAGATGATTTGGAACAATTTTGAGGCCAATCGGTGAAACGGCCGAGGAGTTGCCGCTTTCCAACCGACGTGTATGAAAATGATTGGTTTTTATTTTTCCATTTTGTAATGAAATTTATGGGCTTTCTGTTTGTCAGAGGGCTTATCCATAATAAAAATGTTTCCATGTCTTGACTTGAGGAACATGTGTACCAAATTACATGGTTCTACGACAATTTTGACCTCAAACCCCTCCCATAGGCGTTTATAAATTGGCTGTTGTAGGTGGCGCTATAGAGCCAATTTCAAAATGTTGACTTTCAAATGACCTAGACCCAAGAGTTGAACCATGGATTCAAGTTTTGTGCAAATCAGACTTTGTTTGTGCAAACGGAAGCAATTTTTCTATTGTCAAAAACTGAAAGAAAATACGCCACTTTTTGGCGCTTTGTTGCTCAAACAACGTTTCACTGATCAAAATTCCCTGAAGTCATTTTGATGGTACATGTGTTGAGATGATATGGAGCGATTTTGAGGTGAATCGGTGAAACGGCCGAGGCTGGTTTGATGTTTGTGTGAGGTGTACATTTGCAATGAATGGGGA